AACTCATCATTTATAATGAGATTCTAATCACAGAACTTAATCCCAAACTTTAGTTCATTTATTATAAAATTGTAAATCAAATGAAAATTCTTTCCGTCAAAAATGTTTGAAAAAAGTTCATTAATTTGTTGAAATGAATAAAAATCAAGTAAAAGATCAACTTTTTCACGAGAGTTCACCGGTTGGTTATCAGCCAATTGAGGCCTTATTTCCCAATCCAAGGACTGGTATTTGTTTTTATTAATTCTTCACCAATAGTTGTGTCATTAGCTCTAAACCATTCATTTATTTACTATTATATCAGCGACTATTTGCGACAATTATTAGGTATAACGAGATTTCACGTGAAATATATTTAAATTCCTATTAAAAGCCTTGAATTTATATCATTGCTAGTTAACTAATTAACTTTGATAATTATTTTGATATACGACTGTAAAGTCATTTTGGATTTAATATTTGAATTGTGTTCAAACATTATTTGATTGAGTGATTGAATAAGAAATATGTCGACGAAATGGACCGATACTAAGAAGAAGACAGTAGTGATTGGTGTGGATGTGGGCAGCGGTAGTGTCCGCGTGGCTCTCATCAAGTTTGAGAGCGAATTTGATTGAGTGATTGAATAAGAAATATGTCGACGAAATGGACCGATACTAAGAAGAAGACAGTAGTGATTGGTGTGGATGTGGGCAGCGGTAGTGTCCGCGTGGCTCTCATCAAGTTTGAGAGCGGAGTCATTGAAGCAAAACCTTTGGCCACTCATAAGAAGTCCATTACTGCCCACAACCCTAAGGCTGAATGGTATGAACAAAATACCGATGAAATTTGGGACGGACTTTGCTATTGTGTTCAGGTATTGACCAACAATATAATCTCGCTTTTGTTTTATAAGATATTTTTAATTAAATTTTACAAATTAGTTAATTTAGGATCTAATTTAGTTAATTTATAGCTAATTTTATAGCTTAATGTAGTTGCCGTGTTCAGTAAATTTTTAAATTATCTAAATTAATTGAGATTTTAATAGTTAAAATATAAATTAATTAATTCAAATTAATCAATTGTTTATTTAATTTAGGAGTGTTTGAAGGCATCAAAAGTGAACATTGAAGACATCTCTGGCATATCATTCTCCGCCACCTGTTCTCTGGTTATAATCGATAATAAGTATAACTCAACTATACAAATATTAGTAAAAAGTAAACTGGTATAATTAAATTATGTCTTAATATACTGTACAGAAAGAAAGGCAATGATGTGGTGATGTGGATGGACCACAGGGCCATTACTGAAGCCAGTCTTATAACTAAAACTAAAGTATATTTATTAACACTTTAATTAATTAATTTTTTATTCACATTTATGTATATCTTATGATATGATTGTCGCAAAGAATGAAGTTCTGCAGCAAATGGGTGGCAATGCTTCTCCAGAATATTCTTTGTCTAAACTCTTGTGGTTAAAACGTAATGACAAACAACGGTTTGATGAGGCGATAGGGTTTATGGAG